AAACCTCAGTAGCAACTCTAATGTAAATTGGGTATGCCGACCTTCTGGAACTGCTTAGTAGTCTTCCCCAGTGGCAACTTGCTATCTCTTTGGGGAGGGAGGAGAGTAGTTCTGATTGCTTCATTGTAAGCTTTCCTGCCAAGCTGTGGGAGGGTATGGGTGTGTTTGGAGTTATGGTGGCGTGTGGGGGGGCATTGGGGGGTTCTCAGAGTCCGCAGAATATGCCAGTCATTGGATCTGCAAGTGGTGGCAGTGAGCAGGGCCAGCCCAGCCCGGCCCCTTTAGCATGCAGCACCTCGTGCCCCCACACCAGTCCCTGGCCGCATGAGGTGGCAGGGTGTGGGGCCAGCCCAGCCCAGCCCCATAGTGCTCCCACCCCAGTCCCCAGCCACACATAGTAGAAAGTTATCAGGTCAGCCCCATTCAGCCCCTTAGCACATTGCTCCCTGTGCTCCTGCCCTTTCATCCAGCAGGAGTCCCTGGCCTGATAGGGCCCTTACCTGCATTTCCATGCTTGCAAGCAAGGAGGCTGGGAACAGCCCCGGATTTGCCAGAAAAGCCTCTGCCAGACATAGATTTCTAGTTTCTAGTGCTCCCTGGCTTGGGGCTGGAGGTGGGTCAAGCCAGGCTGAGGTAGTGGGGATGGTTGCATAGTAACCAAAGCCACATCTCCTATGAGCCCCCCCGCTGGCTTGCAAAGGGGCAGCCCAAGGCCAGGGCTTACAGGGGACTTACAGAGGGGCCTACAGACCAGATGGAATTGTCTTGCAAGCCAGACACAGCCCATGGGCCATATTTGCACACCATTTTTAAAGTTTAGACCTAAGCCCAGTGATCTCTTGCACACCCAGTCATTTAAATCACCCAGTGCTTGGTTAGGGAGATCTGAATGTAATGCCTGTATGAACCCTTGTTAGCCCAACTGCCTTCACAGTAGAAATTGTTTTATGCAATGTACAAGCACAAGTTCCTTCCTGAAAGAACTTAATAGACAGGAAAGATAACAGGAGAGGGAAATCCAGGTGTTACTGGGGTTGGCATATGATTGGGAATAAGTTGTAGTTAATAATTTGTTTACATAGTATTTTATCTGCTATCTTGTGTTATGTGACAGTTGTTATTATTTAACTATAGTTTGTATTGGCCATTTTTTAAAACTCGGCATTAATTTAAGATTCAGTCCCGCAGTCAGATCTGCACAAACCAACTTGTCAGAGCCTCCTTTAAAAAGGGAAATTCACATCGGCACCCTTCATAGAATCAGGGCCTGATTCCTTATTCTGTTGCTAGCTGTGGTTCTGTACTATGCCTGCTGCACGTGATAGTACTGGGAACTGTGGGATACATAATTTCTTTGTGGTTCTGTTATAATTCTTAGCTGGAATCCTCTGTGTGGTTACATAGCATTAATACATGTGAAACTGGAGGGCCAGTATAGACGTAACACACCATTTCTTTCCATTCCATCAGTATAAACTGTTATAACTCTGTTCTGTGAAACCTCCCATGAAATCTACAGATTGCTCATAGATTTATGCTTATATTAGAACTAGGTGTCACTGAAGGGAAGTTTGGGCTTGAAATTTATATATAAAAAATATTTTGATATCTTTGTTTTGTAATCCTTGCTACTAGACATTTATGAAGAGGAAACAGTTAAAATGAATATGCTTATTCTTTTGAAATTATTTTGTTCAGCAGTATTGAAAGTCCATTAGTACATGTGATGTGCTAAGGACAATTTCCTCTTTAAGAAAGCAAGGTCAGCATGACTTTTGAATAGGAGAGAGAGAAAAAAAATATCTGAACATGTTTTGAGAGAGATTTGTTTGGACTCGTAAGGTACTGGACTAAATGATCTATGTTCAAATTTAGTAATTTAAGGGAAAATTATTCTGGACCTTATATGCCAGTGTTCAGCTTGAAGGAAATATTTATGGCTTCAATAGAATGCCACGGCATTTCCTCAAACTTTAGCTTAGTGTTTCCAGGATAGCATCACATGGTGAATAAGGTCTTTCAGTACTGTAGCTTTCCCCTTTCCTAAGTCCCTGTAGTTCTAATTTCTGTCAAGCTTCCCTACCATATGACCAGACAGAATCTGTTTAATTTTGCTCATGTACTCTTGTGGAGAAAACATACAAAATCCTGAGGGTTCAAAGGGCTCATTTTTTTGCATCCCAAGTAGGCCAGTCCTGCCACCAGATTTCCTGTCATATTGCTTCAGCCTACTAGGTATGAACTTACTCTTGGCCTTTTATGTAAAATATGTATAGCTTTTTTAGCATTATTATATGTTCTGCTATGTATAATAAAAGATCCTTAGTACGAAAATTATAATGGACTGATACAATGGATAAAGCCTTCCCATTGTTCATAAAGAAGCGGTTCCATATTATACAGTGACAAAAATGAATGTAACTTCATAGTTTCATAGTTGGTATGGTCACAAGGGACCTGAGCAGATCATCAAGTCTGACCCCCTGCCATGGCAGGTATGAGTACTGGGGTCAAAGACCCTGGCTAGGTGATTGTCTAGCCTCCTTTTGAAGACCTCCAGGGTAGAAGTGAGCACCACTTCCCTTGGAAGTTGGTTCCAGATCCTAGCCTCCCTGACTGTGAAGTGTAGTGTCTACTGATATCTAGCCTGAATTTACTCTCCATCAACTTACGGCCGTTATTCCTTGTTACTCCCAGTAGTGCTCGGGAGATGTTTTGTGATGGGTATGAATTATAATTTTAGACTTCCGTTAAATATGCTTCCATGACAAGGATCTGTTGTCTCAGCTTCCTCTGTTGCAATGTTAAATCACATAGTCATGTCCTGTCTGAAATTGTCTGAAAGTACCTGAAGAAGATTTTTAATTTGTGAATAGTGTTTAAAAGTCTAAAATTCTCCAATAAAGCATTATAGTTGTTTAAAGCTG